ATAATCTTGTTGAGCACTTGTGGGCATTTCATATCACTTGATTGTTGTGCTTTTATTTGGTTTATTAATTCATTTGGACACTTTTGTGTGTTTGTATTTGAATAGTTAAATTTGTAATCCCAGATATTTTTTTTAAAATGTTTGTGAATTGTGTGGACCTTCATTACCAAGTTTTAATTTAATATGTGTGCACATAAACTATCTACTTGAAATAGAGTATATAAATCAAAAGATAGAAGAATTGGCAAACAAAAAAACATAAAGTTAAATTTATGAGTGTTGTTAGGAACCTTTTTTTTAACACCTAAATTTTAGGAGTTATGATTTTTTTTTTGAAACGAGGCAAAAGACTTGCCATTTTCATTGATTAAGAAGAAGTAAGAATTGCCCGGTTAATTGACGGAAAACCGGGCTAAAACCAATACAACCCAACCCATATAACATGGGCACCACCGGCCAACCTGGCCACCGACATGAAACATGAGCTGCAAAGAAGAAAAGACATCCGCCGGGGAGTCGCAAGCGTCATCGTCATCACCGGTTATCTCCGAACGGGCGACTCCGACTTCACCATAGAGCTCCACCAACAAGTCGCCCTCGCAAACAGCTACACAGAGCAATGACGGCACATGCCAACAGATGGCCACACGCGCCAACAACCGACAACTTCGACTTTGACGACGAGCCTCACAAGGGAAATATGCAGGACTTGCGCCGACCGTGCCCTAAAGAGCACCTCGGGCACGCCGGGAAGATCCGACTACCAAAGCCCGAGCCGCGACCCAAGCTCCTCTTGACGCCATCATCGTTGCCAAACAGAAATCGGCGCCCCTGAAACGGCCGCCTCAGCAAACCACGCAGCGAAGATGCCGCCCTTCCACGCGGCGAAGATGTCGCCATCCCACGCGGCGAAGATGCCGCCCTTCCATGCGGCGAAGATGCCGCCATCCACCGGTCTCAGGTTGTAGCCGGCTCCAAGACGATGCCCCCAAGGAGGAAGAAGACGTGAAGACGCCTTCATCGCCCGATCCCGCAGATCAGAGGTTTCCCTCCGGAGCCAAGGAGTTACGATTTGATGAGACACACATCTGAGAGGCTAAATTTTAGAGGTTTGGTTAGAAATGCCCTATGATATATTGTTCTTTTTTTAAAAAAACTTCTGAGACTCTGCATCAATTGATATACACAACTAATTTTATTCCGGAGTTATATTGTCACTAGAATAAGCACTCCCTCAAAATTGTAAAGATTTGGGGAACCGACCACAACAAATGTATATGCGGCGAATAAAAACCATCACCTATATTTCCGATTAAACTGCAAGTTGAAGGAGCTGATCATTATCGGTTCTGCTAACCTATGGCTATTATAGAACAGATGGAACTGTGCATGCCTAGCAACCTGATCGGTGAAGAGGGTCATGGCGTAGGATGCAAACTGCCTGAATAAACAATATCTCGATTAACGAGTTGACTACGGACCACTTGCACTCAAGTGCATATCTTATCGAGCAGGATAATCCTATTTTAGGACCTCAGGTTTCAGATGAATGCAAGGTCAAGTACAGTTGATTAGCATCATCTACAGTTGAACTGTCGTATTCTTCAAGCAGACCTGTCGTCTTCTTCAATCAGTCTAATATGTACTCCCTCCGTTTTAAAATAGATGACTTAACTTTGTACGTTTCAAAATAGATGACTTAACTTTGCATTAACTTTATACTCTTTCCGTCCGAAAATACTTGTCGAAAAAATGCATAAAAATAAATGTATCTAGAACTAAAATACATCTAGATACATCCATTCCTCCGACGAGTATTTCCGGACGAAGGGAGTACTAAAATTAGTATAAAGTTGAGTCATCTATTTTGAAACGAAGAGAGTACTTCTTTGCCAATTTTACCTTATCCTAAATGGGATGCGGATAATCTCTCAAAGCCAGGTTTTCGCAATGCTTGTCTCTTGGGAGATTTGAAACAAGCGAAACTAGAGTCTTCAAAATGTGGCCTATCGTCCTCAACAACAAAGTCAAGGACAAGGCGGGGATAGAGGTGTATTGTGGGCGCCAAGCACTCGGGTTCCTTGATGTCGGGAGTGTAGGCATGCTTTTACTTTTTGTGTAACCATTGTGGGCATGGTGTTATCTGAAAATCCCTTCTTAAATTATAAAAATGGCAAGTGTTTAACCTTGTTTAAAAAGTTCTACGATGACTCTAGTAGCATGTATGATCTTTCATGTGAGTCGCTGGATGAAAGCAAAAGCAGCTTCCATGGCAGCCAAGGACGGGGTATCCGATTTCATTTATGTGGTGAAGAGCACTCGAAACGCTAGAAAAACGCTTGGGAGAGAAATCAATTTGATCTCCCAGGTCAATCGAAAGACGCTTACGAAAAGGTTGTTTGAATTTACGAAAAGTTTGTTTGGGAGAGAAACGCTCGGAAACGCTTGTGAGAGACAACACGATACTGGTGCAAATGTTACAGATCCACCGTGGACCGTTCGGGGGTGTTAGGCGACCCTATTGCATCAAGTTCTACCGTGGCCACATTATCGTCTAAAACTTTTGTCTTAATTGTTGACAAGGCAAGTTTTATGCCTTGCCTAAATAAAAGTTTCGCAATCCCATTGTAATGGTAATAGTATGTATGATCTTTCGGAGAGTCGTGCGCGAAAACCAGAAATGGTTTATTTGGCAGTCAAGGATAGGACGTCCGGTTTCTCTTATATGGTGAGAAGGAGAACTGAAAGGTCACGAAAAACATTGCATGCAGGGACGTAGCCAGACCTCGGGTTGCCCGGGACACGGCCTAGGCCGTGGCGGTCGAACCCTTCATATACAGAAGATGTTGTAGCACATTGTAGCCACTATAGCTATTGTAGGTCTAGGGGTTGGCCTGGGGCATAACCTGAGCCTCGCTATACAACTGATTGGGTGGAGACGACACAATGATCGGGTGAACATTACAGATTGGTCATTAATTGTTCGGGGGCACTAGGGGCCACACAACCTTGCCATTGTGGCTGCAATATTATCTAAAACTCTCATCTTCATAAGTAAAATAGGAAAGTTTTTTTTCCTTCTTTAAAATTAACTTTTGCAACACCATTGTAACACTATGTATGATCTTTCGGTTAGTTGTATAATGTGTCAGGTGTTACTTCCACGGTGAGAAGGAGAACTTAAAATGATGCGAAAATGCAACAGGGTGTCCGATTTTACTTCCACGATGAGTAGGAGAACTGAAAACACACATAAAATGTTGTCCTCGGGCCAATGTGGCCACAATATCATTTAAAACTCTCATCTTAATGAATGAAAATGACAAGTTATTCTCATCTTAATGATCTCTCGGTTAATCATTGGATGAGACTATAATGGTTTCTTTGGTAGCCGAGGAGAGAGCATCTGGTTTCACTTTCGCGGTCAAAAGGAGAACTAAAAGCGTCGTGAAAAACCTTGCAGAGGACTGCGCATCAGGTTTCACTTCCGCGGCGAGAAGGAGAATTGAAAATGACACGAAAAACCCTGCAAAGGATCGGGTGTCTGGTTTCACTTCCGCGGTGAGAATGAGAACTGAAAATGGCGCGTAAAACCTTGGAGAGGACCGGGCGTCAGGTTTCACTTCCGCTGTGAGAAGGAAAACTGAAAATGCCACAGAAAACCCTGCAGAGGACCGGGGTCAGTTTTCACTTCTGTGGTGAGAAGGAGAACTGAAAGTGGCACGGAAA